ATATATTTATTATTTTTATTTTATGTGTATAAGTGTATTGCCTGCATGTATGTGAGTGCACCCGTGTTGTGCAATGCCATGGAGGTCAGAAGAGGGCTTCGAATTCCCGTGGAACTGGAGTTAAGGACGGAACGTAGCTGCCATGTGGGTGCTGGGACTCGAACCTGGATCCTCTGCAAGAGCAGTCAGTACTCTTAACCGCTAAGCCATCTCTCCAGTCCCTGCCTCTGTTACTTTTAAGTGTGTGTGTGTGGTGTTTTATATTTGTGTGTGTGTGACACATGCATTTGGAGGTCCGAGGTCTTCACTGTCCTTGCTCAGGAGTTGTCCACTGTATTTTTGAGGCGGACTATCTTTCACACTAGGATCTGGGTGCTTACTGACTCATCTAGGATGGTAAGGCAGGGAACCCCAGGGACCTTCCTGTCTCTGCCTCTGAGCACTGGGATTAAAAGCGTACACTATAAGTGCACCCAGCTTTCGAGATAGATCCTCAGGATTGAATTAGACCTTCATGCTTGAGCAACAAGCACTTTGGCTGACTGAGCTCTCTTCCTAGCCCCTACCTTTGTTTTATGAAACTTTCAGATAGCTAATAAAAAACTGTAAAAGAAGGTAAAAATAAGTTGTTGGTTATTTGAGAAACAAATAAACTGAAAAGTATTTTCCCTTTTAAGATTTAATTCAGATTAACACTAATCTAAAGACATGACATTTTCTAAAACCTGAAACTTTAAAAAAAAATTTTATTTATAGCTGGGTGTGGTGGCACATGCCTTTAATCCCAGCACTTGGGAGGCAGGGGCAGGTGGATCTCTGTGAGTTCAAGGCCAGCCTGGTCTACCTAGTGAGCTGAAGGCCAGCTAGGGCTACAGAGAGACAAAAAGACCAAAAAAAAAATATTTATTTTTATTTTATGTGTATGAGTTTTGCCTGCATGGAATTAAGGGCACCTATGTATGCAACGTCTGCAGAAGCCAAAAGAGGGCATTGGATCCCCTGGAACTGGAGTTATGGACAGTTGTTAGCTGCCATGTGGTGCTGGGAACCAAACCTGGGTCCTCTGCAAGAGCAGCCAGTGTTCTTAACTGCTGAGCCATCTCCCCAGCCCTGAACCTGAAATGTTTGTGTACTATATATGACACAAATAGAAAATTCCACATCATGAAACAAAGTTTCATGCACAAAATTACTTAAGATAGTGCATAAAATTATTTTGGGTTGTGTATGAAAGATGCATATGAAACATATAAGAATTTTGTGTTCAGGCTTGGGACCCATACCCAGGACACCTCGTGATATATATGCAGTATTCCCAAATCCAAAACAAACAAAACATGACTCTGAGACACTCAGGTTCCAACTAGTACATATTAATTGCTACTAACCAGCCAGTAAGGAAATTCATTCATTATATGCAGGTAATTATAATTCAAACAAGAAAACAACAACAACAACAACAACAAAAACCCTGTGTGGTCATAAAGCAAGAACGAGAAGTTCTATTATAAAATATATCATTTGGTATTCAAATGCGCTCACAAAAATAAAAATGAAATTATCTGCAGGGTTTGACTATCACTGTGAAGCAAGTTCTAACCACTATTTTCATCCAAATTGTGAAATCTCCGTAACTTTTTTACATGATATAACACTAATTATAGAAACCCCTTCCTGTGGGGACTCAAAATATAATACATTTTTACTACATCCCATTTTTAGAAAACAAAGTCCTGTGTTGATTTCCACTTGTCATAATTTAGAGCCCTACTATGTGCAAGGAGCCTTAACCCCAAGGAGCTGAAATGAAGAGGTTGTCTACATTGCTAAACACAAAAGGCAAGGAAGACAGTTCTTTTTAACAATTTAAAATCTAACACACATTCAAACAAAAACAAAAACTACCACACTTAGTTATCACAAAGTGAATGATCCCAGGTTCCAACCAACATCAAAATGAAGAAATAGAAAGTGGCCAACCTTCCTACACTCCTTCTTTGGATTTAAAGCAAAACAAAACAGAACAAAATGGTGTCAGTATAGAACTGAGGCTAGCCTAGAAGTTCACTATGTAACCCAGACAAGTCTCAAACTTCTGGTCCTCCTACCTTGGCTCCAGGGGCTGAGATAAGTGTGCACCATCATAATGAGCTTGGCACTATCATGGATTCCAAAACCACAGATCAGGTTTGCAGATATAAAATCACATATACTAGACATGCTATTATTGTTCTGAGATAGGGTCTCATTTTGTGCTTCAGGCTGGATGGGAACTATGCTGTCCATACTGAAATCCTTCTTTCTCAGCCTCCCAAGCTCTGGGGTTGCAAGTGAGCCCTCACACCTAGCTGGACACTTTTCATTTCTGTAATCGTGTTTGTAGAGTCATCTAAGTTGATAATAGGAGTGACAATCATTTTCCTTGCAATGGCACATTTCTTTGATTCCTTACCCTCACCTTGCAGTTGATCAGCATTATGTGTTATTTTCAGTTTGGAGATCTCATAAATGCAGTTACTAATGCCATCTGCATATATGTCTTTTGGTACCCATGTGTATGCATGTATTAGTTACTTTCTGTTGCTGTGATAAAACACTGACCAAAACCAACTTGGGGAGGAAAGGGCTTATTTGGCTTACACTTGCACATCACATTTTGCCATTAAGGGAAGTCAGGGCAGGAATTCAAACAGGAACCTGGAGGCAGGAGCCAAAGCAGAGACCATGTGGACCCTGCTAACTGGCTTGCTTCACTACTTTTTTTATAAAGCCCAGGCCCACTTCCCAAGGGATGGCACCACCTGCAATGGACTGGGCCACACCTACCTAGGCCCTCTTATTTCAATTAACAATTCGAAAAAAAGACACCCCCCCCCCAAAAAAAAATGCTCCATAGACATGTTCATGGGCCTGTCTGATGGAGACAATTCCTCAATTTAGGCCTAGTCTTCCCAGGTGACCCTAGTTTGTGTCAAGCTGACAAAAACTAACCAGCATAATGCATTTGTCCTGGGTGCAATATCAGAAGCAAAACTTAAAGAATGTGTGCAAGATGACACAAACAGTTCTCCATAGCAGCTGTAGCAGTTTACATTCCTGCCAGGCCCATATTACAACACTGGTTTACCATACTTTCACTAATACTTAGCACTTTAAAATTTGAGGGCTAGGGATAAAACTCAATGGTAGAGCACTTGCGCGCGCGCGCACACACACACACACACACACACACACACACACTCCAATAATGTGGTTGGGACAGGAGCTAAATTTCCAGCTGGGCACGGTGGCTGGCTGACACCTGCACTCCTAGCATTCAAGAGGTTGCAAGTTTCAGGATAATGTGGACGATACAGAGTGAGACCTGTGTTCAAAAAGCAAAAATCTAAAAAGAATTGGCTTTAATTTGTATTTAGATCAATTTTAAAAATTGGTTTAGATCAAATATTTTTAAAT